TATGGTGTTCATGTGGGAGGTCTAGAGGAAGTAGAACTGATTTGATGGGAAACAAAATGAGATTTTTGAAGTGCATGCTCAATATCTGAGATTCTTACAAAAATACCCATGTTGAGACAGTACCAGAAAATATAAAATATACACAGGACATCCATATAGATTTGTGTTTTTCATACAAGAAAAACATGTTAAATGGAATAAATATAATCCAGAGGCACCTGATTGACCCTTTCGTAAGGAACAAGAAACTAGACAACATATATGAAAAATAACTTGCAGGCATTAAGCATAAGAAAAGATAAGGTAGACATCCCTACAAGAGGGCAAAAAATAAGACAAGTCCTATGATTTCTCAGCTTACTGCCTAGAGACTCCAGCCATAGCACAGAAATGTACCTAACTGGAATTTGATGATCTTCTTGAATTGAAAACACAGATCCAGAGTTCTGAGAGGTCAGGAAGCTAGAGTCTGTAGGATAGTGCCAGAGAAGAGAGATGTGCTTAGAGAATACAAGAAAAACAAAAAAATAAAACTACAGGCCATCTGCCTGACGAAAAAGATGCAAAAATCCTCAATAAAATCTTAGCAAATTGAATCCAACAATACATCAAAAATGTTAAACACCATGACCAAGTGGGATTTATTCCAGAGACACAAGGATGGTTCAAATCCTTGGTTCAAAGTTTGAAAATCAATTAATGTAATCTAACACATCAACGAAAAGAAAAATAAAAACTATATGATCATATGAACAGATACTGAAAAAGCACTTGATGAAGTTCAGCATCCATTTATAAAAGGCCCTTGAAATATTTGGAATAAAAGGAATGTACCTTAATATAATACATGCTATAAATGACAAACCTACAGATAACATAATTCTTAGTGATGAAAAACTGAAAGCCTTCCCTTTGATCTGGAACAAGACAAGGATATACATTCTCACCACTGCTTTTCAATATAATACTGGAAGTATTAGCTAGAGCAATTAGGCAAGAGAAAGACACACAAGGATTCCAAATAGGGAAAGAAGAAATAAAACTATTACTATTTGCATATGATATAATATATAGACTGAACCTGAAAAACTCCACAGAAAAACTAATTAAAACAATAAACCAGTCTACTAAAGGACCCGGTTACGAAATCAACACACAAAAAACAATGGCCTTCCTATATGCAAACAATCAGTCTGAAAAGGAAGAAATTAAAAAACCATCCAATTTACAACTGCACCCCCCAAAAATTAAACTACTAGGAATAAACCTCACAGAGGAGGTGAAAGACCTATACAAAGGAAATTACAAAACATTGTTAAAAGAATTAGAAGAAGACACAAAGACATAGAAAGACAATCCCTGCTCATTGATCGGAAAAATAAACATTATCAAAATGTCTATCCTACCAAAAGAAATTTACAGGTTCAATGCAATTCCATTGAAATCTCAATGGCATTCTTCGAAGAAAAAGAACAAATATTGCTGAAATTCATACAGCCAAACCTCATATAGCCAAAGCTCTCCTGAATAAATGGAAGGAAAATGCAGGTATTATACTTCTAGAATTTATTTTTTTAATGGAATTTTTTTTAAAGATTTATTTATTTATTTTAAATTTATTTATACAAGCACTGGGTACAGTGAGAAGCGCGGGAGGGTGAGAGAATTCACCAGAGCCAGAGCCAGAGCGGGGAGCAGAGCAGGCAGAAGGACCGAAGTACACTGCTGAGGGGAGCAGCAGGCGGCAGGAGAGGTCCGCGCACCACGCGGGACCCTCCTCTGGTGGCCGGAGAACAACCGGGGATCGAACCAGCACCGCAGAGGCCGCGGGCAGCCCCACAACCCAGCGCTCAACCGCTGTGCCACCGGGGAGGGCCTAGACTTTAAACTATGGTACAAAGTCACAATAAGAAAAACAGGATGGTACTGGAAAAAAAAGAGATACAGAACAATGTAATCAAATGAAAAGTCAGAAATATATGGCCAACTAATCTATGACAAAGGACCAAAGAATATACACTGGAACAAGGATAGTTTCTTCAATAAATGGTGCTGGGAAAACTGGACCACTACATGTGAAAGAATGATACTAAACTACTACCTCACCCCATACATAAAAACCAGCTCAAAATGATAAAAGAATTTAATGTAAGACCCGAAACCATAAAATATATAGAAGAAAGCTCTCCGTGACATACACCTCAGAAACCTCTTTGAAGATTTATCTCTAGAAGCAAAGAATATATAAAAATAAAAAGTTTGGCACAGCAAAAGAGACAATAAAAAAATAGACGACCTACTGAATGTAACAAAATATTTGCTCACCAGATAACTGATAAAGATCTACAAAGTCAACAAAAACAAAATAAACAATCCCGTCAAAATGTGGGCAGAAGAGGTAAAAAGACACTTCTCCAAAGAAGAAATACAAATGGCAACAGGTATATGAAAAAATGTTCAATACCACTTATAATCAGGGAAATGCAAATCAAAACTACAATGAGATAGCACCTCTCCCCAATGAGAATGGTCCATATCGAAAAAACTGGCAACAACAAATGCTGGTAAGGATGTGGAAGAAATGCGACCCTTTTACACTGCTGGTGGGAATACAAACTGGTCCAATCACAATGCAAAGTTGTGTGGAGGATCATCAAAATACTAAAAGTGGACTGACCATATGACCCAGTGATTCCACTCCTAGGAAGACACAAAAGATACAAAAGACACAAAAACACTAATCAAATGGACACCTGCATTCCTCTGTTGACTGTAGCACTATTTACAATAGCTAAGATATGGAAAAAACCTAAATGCCCCAAAACAGATGAATGGATCAAGAAGATGTGGTATATATACACAATGAAAATACGACTCAGCAATCAAAAAAGAAAAACTCATGCCATTTGCAGCAACATGGATGGAACTAGAGGGATTATGCTAAGCAAAATTACTCGAAAGAAAATGAGAAATACCAAGGTTTCAATTATAGGTGGAATATAGGGAAACTGAACAAAGGATAAGGAAAAAGACAAAACTCACAGAGAAACCATCAGTGTTAGGCATATAGCAGTGTTGGAGGGGGCATTAAAAACTGTGACGAGTACTAGGTCCATTATTTATAGAAATAAGACTTTAAAACAAAGGAAATTAAAGATGAAGTATATAAAATTATAGACTGATAAAATTAAAAGATAATTTAATAATCAAAATTTAACATGTGGGAAAAACAAAATATTTGAAAAAATTATTTTATCATGTTGCAAGGTAAAATGTTAATTTTTAATATACCCTAATATTGAAATACATACTTAAAAATATAAAGTAATTATATCTCTTTTTAATTTTAAAGGGAACAGTCACGACACATTTATCTATTTTTTATTTATTTTTTTATTTTTTTATTTTTTAATAGAGGCATGCTTCATTTATTTGTTTGCTGGTTTGTTTGTTTGTTTTGTTTATACATGCACTGGGTACAGTCAGAAGCGCGGGAGGGTGAGAGAATTCACCAGAGCCAGAGCGTGGAGCAGAGCAGGCAGAAGGACCGAGGTACACTGCTGAGGGGAGCAGCGGGCAGCAGGAGAGGTCTGCGCGCCATGTGGGACCCTCCTCCGGTGGCTGGGGAGCAGCCGGGGATCGAACCGGCGCCGCAGAGGCCGCGGGCAGCTTCGCAACCCAGCGCTCAACCGCTGCGCCACCAGGGAGGCCCCGACACATTTATCTAAAATTTAACAATTCCTTTACTATTACATATGTTTCTTTTTATTTGGTGGATGCCAAATAAAATAATAAATATAAATATCTTTATAAGAATAGCATATATATGGTTCTCTCTTTTATCTAATTTATCTACCTAGAATTATTTCTATATAAATATTAAGAGATGTTTGATTTGGTAATTTTCAAATACTGAAATTTTGATTTTTTTAAATATCTGTATACTAGAATTTGTCTTTGTTCTCATTCTTTCTTATTGCATGAATCTTGTAAGAACAATTTCCCCAAAAAGATGTATAGTAAAGCCAAGTAAACCAAGTAAAACTAGAGAATCTTAATAGTTTAAGAACAGATGTAAAGATGTCCAATAGAACAAATGAGTAGATACAGGCAAGAAAGAGGAGATAATACAGGAGAAAACTAGCATTTAAGAATCCAAAGAAAGAGCAGACTTGAAATGTGATGGAAATCAATGCTATAAAATAGAGGTTAGCCATGGCTGTGACAATCCACCAGTGACCTCAGTTAGAGCAATTGGATTATTGGTAACTAGGCCAAAACCCAGAGGAGTGCTATATAAAAAATTAATTATTATGCATAAATTATAAATATAAATTATATAAATGTAAATTATTCAGTTAATTATTAAATATAAATTCTCAACACTTAAAAAGTACAGTGATAATAATTAAGCTGTAGTAAGGTTAAATAAGAAATTCTGTCACAGCAATCTTATTTACTTTTTTCTAATTAGGGACTGCAGGATGGACTAAAGTCATATAATAAGTATAGTTATCTGAGTTAAGACAGGAATAAGCTTGCAATGGGAACAAATACAGTTCATTTTATTGCACACTTATGGGCTAGTGGCGAGGGAGATTGATTTACATATGCCAAATTTCCTTCTAAGACTTTGATTCCAGTGCAATACATGAGAACCAAATTATTTCCAGAAAACTGTAATCTCAGACAAAAATATAAATGGACTGATATAGAGAACATGTTATCTATATTATCTGAATATTTTTGACCATATCAAGTAAAACATTGCCAATGAGTACATTTTCTCCTTTGCAAACAACTCTTCATAATTTTTAATAAATTACAAGCTACTTTTTGATGTACTCTATTTGATTTTCTTATATGGGCTGAAGATCAATGAGTAAAGAAGTGCAAGCAGGGAAACAAGGGAAAGATTCTTGGAAAAAATTGAAAAATAAAACATCAAAAATGGTGATTTTAATATGCCTGCCTTAAACGTTATTCCCACAAAAACTTACCTTCTTTTTTCTCTGCTACCCATGCATTCAGTTCTTGTATTTTTGCCTTATCAATACATATATGTACTTTAAGGTTATCCAATTCTTCTTGAAGATTCATCCTATGAAAATTAACACAGTAAATAATTATTTGAAATCTGTAAGTTAAGGAATATTGTTTAGACAAACAAAAGGATTAAAGATATTAAAAAATACATATGGTTTAGTATGGGATTTTCAACTTTAAATAAACATGCTAAAGAGTTAACACAAACTATATGATTAAAAACTCATATATTGAAATATCTACCCACAGTTTAACAGATACGTGATGTAAAATAATAACAAAAGAGAATTTATACCACTGAAAGAAAAATAGTAAATCTCTAGACTCCAAGTAAAGACAAAGAACCTTTACTAAAAATTCATTGAACCATGGTGAGAGACCTGGTTCAAATGTTGACCATAGAGATATCAGATCTTCAATCCGGAATGAGGTTTGAAATTTATGCCAAAAGCTAACAGACAAAACTAAGATAAATGCAGGAAGCTATCAAATTTTTGATAGACAAAAATTTGTTGAAAGCTAACCTGAATCCCTAAGCTATCTGACTAAAGTTCTACAGAAAATAGGTTTCCTGTCCTAGTGAGATCAAAATCCTAAACTTGTATTATATATATCAAAATTGAGACATATACATTTGCAGAGATCTGAAGAATTGACACTAATATAAAGTTTTGTTATGGGCAGTTTTTTACATTATGAACTGAAGAGTTCCTCTGCTATGGACTGGCTTCTACAACTGAAAGAATGGATAGTAGATGATTATGGCTTTATAGTATAGTTTGAAGTCTGGGAGTGTGATGCCTCCATTACCTTCTTTTTTTTTCAGGAGAGCTTTGGCTATTTGGGGTTTTTTGTGATTCCATATGAATTTCATCAATAATTGTTCTATTTCTTTGAAGAATGACATTGAAATTTTGATTGGAATAGCATTGAATCTGTATATTGCTTTTGGTAGGATGGCCATTTTAATAATGTTTATTCTTCCAATCCATGAGCAGGGGATATCTTTCCATTTCTTTGTGTCTTCTTCTATTTCTTTTAACAGTGTTTTATAGTTTCAAGAACAGACATACAGACCAATGGAATCGAATAGAAAATCCAGAAATAAACCCACAGATTTATGGTCAACTAATATTTGACAAAGGAGCAAAGACTATGCATTGGAGCAAAGAAAGTTTGTTCAATAAATGGTGTGGGAAAACTGGGTCGCTACATGCAAAAGAATGAAGCTTGACCACTACCTCACACCATACACAAAGATCAACTCAAAATGGATTAAAGAACTAGACGTAAGACCTGAAACCATAAAATATATAGAAGGAAATACAGGCGAAACACTACGTGATTTGCACATCAAAGACATCTTTACAGACACATCACCCAAAGCAGTGATAGTGAAGGTAAAGATAAACATCTGGGACTACATCAAATTAAAGAGCTTCTGCACAGCAAAAGAGACAATAACAAAAACAAAGAGAAACCCCACCAACTGGGAGAACATTTTTGCGCCCAACACTAATGATAAAGGACTGATCAAAAAAATCTGCAAAGAGCTGATGAGACTCAACAACAACAAAGAAAATAATCCAGTCAAAAAATGGGCAGAAGAGCTAAAAAGGAAACTTCTCTGAAGAGGAAATGCAAATGGCCAACAGGCATATGAAAAAATGTTCAACATCACTTGTCATCAGGGAAATGCAAATCAAAACTACCATGAGATGCCATCTTACACCAGTGAGAATGGCACATATTAAAAAAACTAGCAACAACAAATGTTGACGGGGGTGTGGAGAAAAAGGAACTCTTCTGCACTGTTGGTGGGAGTGCAAACTGCTCCAACCACTATGGAGAGCTGTGTGGAGATTTCTGGACCTACTAAACATAGAGCTTCCATATGATCCAGCAATTCCACTCCTAGGTATTTACCCAAAGGACACAGAAACATCAATTCCAAAGAACACCTGCACCCCTATGTTTATAGCAGCACTGTTTACAATAGCTAAGCTTTGGAAACAGCCCAAATGCCCAAAAATAGATGACTGGATCAAGAAGATGTGGTACATATATACCATGGAATATTACTCAGCATTCAAAAAAGATAAACACATGCAATTTGCAGCAACATGGATGGCGCTGGAAAGGATAATGCTCAGAGAAATAAGCCAAAAAGAAAAAGAAAAATACCGGATGGTCTCACTCATAGCAGGAATCTAGAAAACTTAAATAAGGGACCAGGAAAATGAATAACTATAAGAAAGTGAAAATCAAAATCAACAAAAAACTATGAAACAGAGACACTTTTTGGGGGTGGGGGGCGGGAGGGGAGGAATTGGGTCAGAATGGGGGGGTTGCAATTGTATGGGGAATATAAAAATAAAATTTATTATTTAAAAAAAAATAAAGTTGCAGATAGAATTAAAAAAAAAAGAGAATGGATAGTAGAAAAATCATCATGGAAAATAATTCTCAGAGTAGTAAAGGTCACAGATAAAAATAAATTATTAAATTCAAAGCCATGAATGATAGTCTATGTATCACCCCACCCAAAATGAGAAAAGGCACAACAAGGAAATAAACAATAAAAATGAGTTGTATAAAATGAGAGCCTTTAATATACTGGAAAAAAAAATGAAAGGGGTTGATAAATGTGTTTTAAAGAACAAGAGTTTCAGTAACAAGTGCAGACAAATGACAAAAAGAAAAATAATGTATATAGACATGGTAAATAAAACTCAAAATGACAGTTCAAAAGATAAGTGAAATTCTTCCCTTAGAATAAGTGATTCTTCAAAAAATTAGACATAAAAGGCCTCTCTGGTGGTGCAAGGGGTTAAGCACTGCACTATGAAACAATCCGCAGCTTCTGCAGCACCGGTTCAATCCCCGGCCAGGAAGAAATCCACATGGTGAGGCAGACCTCTTCTGTCTCGCCCACTGCTCCCCTCAGCAGTGTATTTCAGTCAGTCTCGCCCACTGCTCCCCTCAGCAGTATATTTCAGTCAGTCTGCCTGTTCTGAAGTTTTTTGAAGTTTCTTTTTTTTTTTTTTTAATAAATCTTTTTATTTATTTATTTATTTGTTTGTTTGTTTGTTTGTTTATACAAGCACTGGGTACAGTCAGAAGCAAGGAAGGGTGAGAGAATTCATCAGTCTGCCTGTTCTGTTTCCCACTCTGCCTCTAGTGGATCCTCTCACCCCCCCGCATCTCTGGCCTGCACCCCAGCTCTTGTATGCATGAATAAATAAATCTTTAAAAAAAATTAGACATAAAAAATATAAAAGATGAGTAAGAAAATGCAATCTTTAGAACTTGTTCAAGGGCCTCCGCGGTGGCGCAGCAGTTGAGCGCTGGATTGCGAAGCTGCCTGCAGCCTCTGCGGTGCCGGTTCGATCCCCAGCTGCTCCCCGGCCACCAGAGGAGGGTCCCGCATGGCGCGCAGACCTCGCCTGCCGCCCGCTGCTCCCCTCAGCAGTGTACTTCGGTCCTTCTGCCTGCTCTGCTCCCCGCTCTGGCTCTGGTGAATTCTCTCACCCTTCCGCGCTTCTGACTGTACCTAGTGCTTGTATAAATAAATAAATAAATCTTAAAATTAAAAAAAGAAATTGTTAAAATATTGGTTGCTCAATATAGATCAACAGACATAAAATCTTATATTTGAACCCCACAGTAACCAGAAAGCAAAGACTAAAGTAAAAGCACATACAAAATGATGAAAATAGAACTTAAAATCACTATTTAAAAATATATATACACACACACATATATCAAACCTCAAGGAGAGAAAAAAGAAAAAAATGACAAAGAACATCTAGAAATACAACCAGAAATCAATAAGCAAAATGACAATGAATAGATACCTATCAATTATTACCTTAAATGTAAATGGTCTTAGATTCAGTTAAAAGACACAGAGTAGCTGATATATTAAAAAAAATAACAAGACCCAACTATATGTTGCCTACAATGAGACTCATCATGCCTACAAGGGACAAGATATACTCATAGATTGAAAGTAAAGGAATAGAAAAAATATATGCCATTCAAATCAGGCTGAAAAGAAAAACGGTACACCTATACTCTCATCAGACTAAACAGACTTTAAAACAAAGACAGTTATAAAATAGGCGGGCAATATACAATGACAAGGGGGCAATCCAGCAGGAGATACAATAATCATCAATACTTATGTACTTACAGAAGTACCAAAACACATAGAACAAATAATAAATCTAAAGGGAGAAATTGACAGCAACAAAATAATAGTAGGGGATTTCTATGTCCCGTTTTCATCAATGTATAGATCTTCCAAACAGAAAAACAATAAGAAAACATGTGTCATAAATTACTCATTAGACAAGATAGACATAATACAGAGAGAACATTCCATTCCCAAAGGACCAAATTATACATTCTTTTCAACTGCACATGAAACATTCTCAAGCCAGAACACATGTGGGGATACAAAACAAATCTCCACAACATTAAGAAGACTGAAATCACATCAAGCATCTTTTCTGACCATAATGCCATGTTAGAAATCAACCACAAGAAGAAAACTGGAAAAACCACAAATATATGAATATTAAGAAAAACTCTACTGAACTTTAGGTGACCAGAGAAATGAAAAACTATCTGAAGATGAACAAAAATTAAAACACAACATACCAGAATCTTCGAGATACAGCAAATGCACTATTAAGTGGGACGTTTATAGCAATGCAGGCTCATCTGAAGAAATAAGAAAAATCTCAAAAACTACATTTAAACTTACACCAATAGGTACAAGAAAAAGGATAAATTAAGCCCACAGTCATTAGAATGAAATAAAAATCAGATAAGAAACAAATGACATAGAAAAGGGAAAAAACTAAAGGGCAATTAAAGAAAAAGTTTTTTAAAAAACTTTAAAAAAAAATCAGAAAATCTGTGGATAGACTCACTAAAAAAAAAAAAAAAAAAAGGCTCAAAGAATATCAGAAATGAAAGGAAGATATTACAATAGACAAAAAAGAAAAGTAAAGGATCACAAAGAGACTGCAATGAAGATCTACATGC